TCAGAAAAAAGAAAATCAGAAATCATAAACAAATACATTTTGATCAAATGAAATAAATAATAAATTGACATTCAAGAGCAAAGTTGTCGATTAAGCCTTTGAGGCGTTGAGTTTTTCGAGAGACGAAATTCGCACAAAATTTGCACAGGTGGAAATTGAAATCATAGTCTTCAACTAGCTTGAACTAGGGTTTCTAAATCACTAGTTGTAAACGAAGTTTAACAAAAAAGCCCTAAAATGTGAAAAGTCCCAACTACCCTCGAATATTTTTTATTACTTTTAATTAAATTATCAATTAAAAAATCACTCTTCTGCTATCACGTTAAAGTAGGGCTGGTCAAAGTTGACTTCAGGTACAGTTGATCAAATCAAACACATTCTGATGATGTGACTGATGAATAAATTCAATTTTTCATAAAAAAAGAAAATTAGAAATCACAAACAAATACATTTTGATCAAATGAAATAAATAATAAATTGACATTCAAAAGTAAAGTTGTCGACAAAACCTTTGAGACGTTGAGCTTTCTAAGGAACGATATAATTTTAGGCCCATAATGCGTCAAATTCACAGAGATCATGAAGCCCAAGGCTTTATCCCTTATTCGTACTTGGCCATTTGGGTGAATTTTGCTTTTTGGCTTATGTACTCACTCCCCAGATTTCACCCAGACGCGTGGCTTGCTGTTGTGAGTGGTGTGGTAGTAGGATTGGAGCTTGGATACTTATTTGTGTTTCACCGTTACAACGCGAATCACATTCGTCGCGTGAGTAGTAGTAATAAAGCATATTTACAATAATTCTCTTTTTTTTTCTTCCCTTTACACTCTTTTAATTTTTATTTTCAGATATTTATCAAAATCTGCTTGTGCTTACTATGATCTTTATAGCTACTTTTACTCTACTTTATTATGACTCACATAAGAGGAGGTCCAAGTTGGTAGGTATTATGCCTGTGTCACTGGCGTAATCATGTATGGGTGCTCGTTACAAAATTTGTAATCACATCTAACCTTATTAAATGCTAACTTTTGTTAATTTGTATTTTCCTTTTTTATTTATTGACTTTTTGTTTTGCATTTGAAAAGTATCAAGTGATTAAAGAAAATAATCTGAATGGCATGCCATTTCTACCATCGGTAGCAAGTTTGGCTAATAGCCTCATATGGCTCCACTATGCTGTCATTCAAACCAAACATGACAATTTCATAGTGGTAAAGTTTAATATATTACTTAAATTAAATATGATTTGGTGTATAATTTTGATAAAAACCTTATTTAATTAATAGATTACAAGTTCTTTTGGTGGGTTATCAAGTGTCTTCCAACTGCTAGTGTATACGTATTACTACTTTGCTGCTGCTGCTGCCGCCACCGAGAGTTTTCCGAGGGACGAAATTTGAACATGCGAAAATTGAGATCATAGTCTTCAACTAACTTGAACTAGGGTTTTTGAGTCACTAGTTGTAAACGAAATTTGACAGTGAAGGCCTTAAAATGTGAAAAGTCCCAATTACCCTCGAATATTTTTTATTAATTTTAATTAAATTCTCAATTAAATAATCGCTCTTCTGCTATCATATTAAAGTAGGGTCCGGTCAAAGTTGACTTCAGGTATAGTTGATCAAATCAAACACCTTTTGATGATGTGACTGATGAATAAATTCAATTATTCAGAAAAAAGAAAGTTAGAAGCCATAAACAAATACATTTTGATCAAATGAAATAAATAATAAATTTATTTTCAAAAGCAAAGTTGTCAATCAAACCCTTGAGGCGTTGAGTTTTTCGAGGGACGAAGAGAGTTTTCCAAGGAACGAAATTTGCACATGCGAAAATTGAGATCATAGTCTTCAACTAGCTTGAATTAGGGTTTTTGAGTCACTAGTTGTAAACAAAGTTTTACAAAGAAAGCCCTAAAATGTGAAAAGTCCCAATTACCTTTGAATATTTTTTATTACTTTTAATTAAATAATCACTCTTCTGCTATCTTGTTAAAGTAAGGGCCGGTCAAAGTTGACTTCATGTACAGTTGATCAAATCAAACACATTTTGATGATGTGACTGATGAATAAATTCAATTTTTCAGAAAAAAGAAAATTAGAAATCACAAACAAATACATTTTGATCAAATAAAAAAAATAATAAATTAATATTCAAAAGCAAAATTGTCGATCAAACCTTTGAGGCGTTAAGTTTTCCAAGGGACGAAGAGAGCTTTCCGAGGAGCGAAATTTGCACAAAATTTGCATCGGCGGAAGTTGAGATCATAGTCTTTAACTCCCTAATCCATGACTCCTTCTCAACAACCAACATTGCATTCCATGTCAGTCTAGCACATTTGTGCACTGAATGCATTACTAGTTTCGGTAACCTGTCGGGTTTTCTGTGCTCTTTCCGGTAGTTTCTTATAAATTCACCCTTTCATGTATGAATTGTATATTGTATCAACATATTTTCCTAACACGTTAAAAAAAATTAACTTTCACAACTTAATTTCACAATTCATAAATTAATAATAAAAACCACGAATACTTTCAACATATATGTAAGAAGATTTGCATATTTGATCACCTACTTTTTCTAACAGTATACAATATAAAAGTTGGACAGATCAATATATTATGATCACAACTATGTATCATGTATGAATTGCATATTGTATCAACATATTTTCCTAACAGGTTAAAAAAATTAACTTCGACAACTCAATTTCATAATTTCAAATCCTAAAATCTATATAATTAGTCAATTATTTCAAAACCCTAAAATCTTAAATAAATTTATATTTGGATATTAAACTGTACCGATATAAATTATTACATATTAACGTATAAAACATAATCAATGTTTACCTATACATAAAGAATACTGTGGGAGGTGGGTTCACCAAATCCTGCTCACCACCTGAAACACCAACACTGGTTTGTTCTTCATGTGACACGTTTTCTGTTCTTGCGTCATTGCTAGACATTGGTTTCTTAGGTAGCCGTAGTGAACGTTTTTTCATTTTCTTCTTTACTATAGATTTTATCCTAGCTAGCCATTAAATTTTGAAAATTTTCAAATTTAAAATTTCGCAAATGTATAAAATTCTCCTAAAACCAGAACAAGAGACAGAGATACTAGTTTCATGAAGAATCAGAGCAAACAACTTTCACCTTTCGAAAATAACCGTATACCAAATTGGAAGGAAAAAGAACAGTTCAAGTTGAGAGTTTTGAAAAGAAGAGGAGACGGAGACACAGACGGATATGGAGATGGAGAGGAGAGGAGAGTAGCGGAGACATATTTGTAATTTTAATAAAAAGGTAAAGGTAAATTATAATTAAATAAAGGGTAAAGTGCATTAAACCCCCTTGAACTATGGGGGTTTTGCAACTAACCCCCCTGAACTACAAAAAACCCCCCTGAACTTTCACTTGTTTGCAATTTGCCCACTCAGGCCACCGGAAAAGATAAAAGACAATTTTACCCTTATTCAAAACTACATCGTTTCTATCTCCCTCTCTCTATTTCTCTATATGTGTATATATTATAAATATATGTATATAATATATATATATATACATATATATATAGACACAGAGAGGAGAGGGAGCACGTCGATCTCGCCGGCCAGTTATAACGCCACCTCGTTCATGTTGTCGTTGACCAGCGACACCGACGGCAAGCAGCCGTCGTCCTCGTCGGCGTTCCAGATCACCAACATGTCCCATGTGTCCCGCGAAGAACAGAAGTAAAGGCGGCAAAGACCCGGGCGGCGGAGATGGACCATCACAGCCGAGTCCTCACCGGACGACCTTTTCATAGCCGACCTCTTCACGGCGGCAAATGACGAAAGCAGATCTGACATCCCAGTGTTGTCGAAGGTGCAGACGGTGATGGACTCCCGTAACTCCTTATGCCACACCCAGCGCGTCCTCACCGCCTCACCAGTAACTCCTTGCGCCGCTGTTCTCTGTCCTCGTCGGCGCCGTTTCTGGGTTCGACGGCAACAAAAAACCGTACCAGTTACAGAGTTCGTGATTTGGGGATTTTTTTTATTTTTTATTTTATTTTTGGTTGAATATTATTTGGGGAAATTTGGCAAAACCATGATCAATTTCATTTTTTTGGCTAGGGTGGATTGGTTGGGCAGAATGGTGACTGTGGAGGTTTTGGGTGAAGAGCGGTGATGGTTTTAATTGGTTGAAGGTGGTGGTGGACTGGTGGTTATGGGTTGGAGGCTTCGGACGGTGGAAAGGATGAAGGTGGCCTCGGCGGTTTCGGTTCTGGATGATGTCGGCTATGATGCAACGGCGGTGATGGACCGGCGAGGGCTCGGCCGTGAGGAAGAAATGCGGCGGTGGAGTGGACCGGCCGGCAAGGATGAATCCAAGCTTCTTGTTCTGTAAATGGGTTTTGATTTTTTAATCTTTTTGTAATTTTGAAATTTTCTTGTTCTGTAAATGGGATGAATCCAAGCTTCTATGCCTTGGATCGTTTCAATTCTAATGCCAAAGGACCGGTCACGAGCATCTGTAAAACATACAACATATATATATATATATATATATATATATATATATATATATATATATTGGCAGATATATACTGCACAGATCGATGAGGGAGACGGACAAAACGTTAGGGCTTGTTTGGATACTAGTTGGGTCCAAATGTCTTTAAAGGTTATTATGGTCTTTTTACATTCCATAAGGGCTTTATGGTCATTTAGAGAAATATGGGCTATCACATGGTAGAAATCCATCGGCCAGTTGCCGGATTGGGGTAAAGTGCAACCAAACAACATACTTCAGGGGGGTTTTATGCTACTTTATAAATTCAGGGGGGTTTTTTGCTCATTAAGGTATAGTTGAAGGGGGTTTAATGCACTTTACCCTTAAATAAAATAATTTTATATATAATATATTGTTATATGTATAATGTATAAGTATATGTTGTATATGGTATCAGTATATGTGATAAAAGAAAGACTATTAGGCAGTGATGTGACAAATAGGTTGAGGTGGTTTCATCTCAACCTTGGTTCCTCACTAAACAGAGTCCAGTGAGTGAGAGGCGCCACTGGAGCAGATTTCAGTCTCTCACTTTTAAAGGCTACATACTGCACCTGACGAAACTGATAGCATATACTCTCTCCGAGTCTCTCTCTCACACACTAACGCACGCACACTAAAATGGCAACGGCGGGAACACTTCAAACCCTAATTTTCATAACTCCGACGAACGTAACATTCTCTAATCGTCATCGGAATGCATATTTTCGGATAAACCACGTTTCTTTATCACGTCGGTCCGCCAATTTCAATCACAACTCTTCACTTCTTCGAAAAACTCACCCCATTTCAAGACGCATAAGAGCCAGCGAACGACCACACAAGGTTCGGTCGCTTCCAATCTTTCTCACTAGGTATCTTTAATCTCAGTATTTTCATTCAATTTCACTTGAAAAACGTCTTGAATTGGTTATTTGTATTGTATTTCAGTTGGGTAGTGATGGAGACCAATCTCCTCAAGTTTCTGGTTCTTCGATGGATTTGAAATGGGCGAAGCCGTTGCTGAAGTTTGCTTCAAACAATTTTCTTCCATTAGGTAATCATATATATTTCTTGGGCCCATGTTCTGTGTTTTCTTTTCTTTTTTAAATATTTTTACTTTTGGGTAAGTAAGTTCAATGTTTCTTTTGATTTCTTTGTTTCAGATTTGCTTAGTGAATAGGATTTATTTACTATAAACATATACATATAGAATATTGGGGATTAGATGCATGTACAATTATTGGGATTAGGCTTATTTTCACTTATTTATTTGTTTATTATTATTATTTTTTGTTCCTGCTTTTGTTTTTGATTTTTTTGTTTTCCTCCAAATTCCATGAGGGGTGAAAAGGAGGTGGGGCATACCAATTGATACACTTGCTAAAAAGGAATTTGTTGCCAACTTCTAGTAGATCCGCAAAAGAAGGAAAAATAAAAAGATAGTAAAAGGATTTCAATTGCTTATCAATTAGTATGAAGCTAAACCGGCATTTTAACAATATAAACACATTCTTATGACCATCTAGATGTGATCTTTGTTGGATCACAATAATGAACATAAAGAGAAGCCAATCCAACTGGTGAGCATAAATGCGTAGTTAAAAACACTCACAAATACTTGAATCAGCATGGAGTTATTTAAGAATGCACTTTAGTCACGACTCTTGAGTCTTGACCTAATATTATTTATTCCGGATCTCCAAACAACTATTCTTATGGAAATATGGAGACTAAAGAATTGGAAATTGAAGATCTAATGAAGTTTTGGATCCATTGTTGATCCTTTAAACATGGAAAACCTTTTTAGAAATTGATTCAGTAGAGCTCTAATAAGCAGTTAGTGATTCATACCATTATTCTCCAATTAAATCACATGCTAGGTGGAAATCAAATATAAAATATAAAGTACAACTTACCTGTACTGCTCACATATGTGTGCAAATTGTATTTGATGAAAACAATTATCCTTGACTACAAATTTCAGGCATCCAGGATTTCTATAGTATTTCTGTGCTCACTACAACCCAAATAGAAGCAGAAACTAGAGATTAAGGACTCCTGACATATAATTTACCCACAATACCTCATTCTAGTTGAGTTAAAAATAACTGAAAGGGGTCAACAACTTGGAACAAATGTGTACTAGTCTGAGCAGATCACTGTCTGACCGAGCTGTTATTTTGAGCTGAGCTCTACTTTTACCAACCAGGGGTCCATATTAGTTCTTTTGCAGCACTGTACTAAAATAGAGTGCATTCATCAAAATTAATCCCCAGAAGTCAGAAAAAGGTTGACCCTACACTAATTAGCTTTGTTCTGTTTTAGATTAAATTTGTAAATTAGTTCTTCTAGAATAACAAGTAGATGAAGGAAAAGAGAAAGGAAGAGAAGAAATGAATGACGAGAAGAATTCAAGATTCAAGACATTTTTTTTTTCTTTTCCTTTTTCCTTGTTTAGGACAAGTTGACACAAGACTTGTAGAATGAGGTTCCATGATGTATGCTATTTGTTGATGATATTTCTTTGATTGATGAAACTAAAGAAGGGTAAAATACAACTTTTGGAGAGCTCTAAAATCAGGGAGTTTAAGATAAGTTGGACTAAAATTGAATATGCATGGAACGTAAGTCAAAAGAAACTAGAAATACAAGTGGACATGTAGTGACTATTGAGATTCAAGAGATATAAAAAGTGATTATTTTCTTGACTCGGGATCCATCATTCACAAAGAGGAAGGGAATGGAGATGATGTTACGTATAGAATTAAAGCCAGATGAGTTAAATGAAGAAGTGCTTCTATTATATTGTGTGATCAATGCATCTCTCTAGAACTAGAAGGTATATTCTCTAAAAAGGTCATGAGACCAACTTTGGGATAGAATGTGGGCCAGATAATGAATTACATGTTCATAAAATGAGCGTGGTTGAAATGCAGATTTTGAGATGGATGTGAGACAAGACGTGGAAGGATAAAACTAGAAATGCTTACATTCATGAAATAGTTGAATTGGCATTCATTGGAGATAAAATGAGATAAACTTGACTAAGAAGTTTTGGCCATGTGCAACAATGTCATGAACTTCACCAATGTAATGAGGAATTGTTACATGGTCCACATTATGGGTAACGATAAGGGAAGTGGAAGATCAAATCTAATATGATTTAAGACAAAAAGGAAAAAGAAAAAAAGAAGATTTATGATGTTGAAATATAAGTGAAATTATGGGCTTACGTAAAGCAGAGTGACAAAATATAATCCACATAGCTGACCTCAAGTAGTTGCCAGAAAGTTTGTTTAGTTGAGTGGAGTTGATGTGCAAGGAGCCCTATGATTGTTCCAAACCAATGATATGGTTTTGATTGTAGGTGTTGGGGCGAGGCGGAGAGTGTGTGTGCTTTGGCTGTGCTTGTGAATGGGTTGTTGGTTTGGTCGTAGCCCATACATATTTCAGATAGGCTGTAAGGGACATTGTAGATGACCCCTCAAGTGATTGTAATATATTCTTTGTTGAGTTGCCTAGAGATTTATCTTTTGATATGACCAATGTTATTTCTATTTAGCTTATTCTTAATTCCCTTCAAAAAAATTTATATTTGAGACGGTCTAATTTTCAGTGCTACTCTTTGGTTTATAACTTTATATATCTCATTCATTTGTTAAGTTGGTTTATTTGTCTAATGTCATCTACAGCTCTTGTCAGTGGAGTAACGTTAGGGCTTGCAAATCCTAGTCTTGGTTGTCTTGCTGATAGCTTTTCTCTGTCAAAATTTAGCACTTTTGGGATATTTATTCTTTCAGGTAAGTTTCTCAAATTAGTAAATTGTTATCTGCTATGTATATATACATATTGTGGTGCTATCTTTACCTTTTTCTTGATACAGGATTGACGTTGCGTAGTGAGGAAATTGGTGCAGCCGCTGAAGCATGGCCAGTTGGAATTTTTGGGCTAGTATGACTTCGAATATCTTAAATGCAATTTTGTAGGTTCATTCTCCGCTTTTATTTCCATCTTCTTATCCTTTTTTCTTATGGAGGGAGCATGTTTGATTCTTCGTCTGTTTTTACTGATACTAACTCCCTAGCTCTCTGTTCATAGGTTCTTTTTTTAAATAGATTAATAGACAATTATAACCATTCTTCCTATTTCATGCATCCAATTTCTGGTTTTTATAATGTCATGACATGGTTTTTGTGTCTTATGTGATGCTTCTTTGTTGAATTGGAATTATTATTCAACACAACTCCTTATCTTCTAACCATAAGAAAGACTGAAGAAAGTTTTGTGTTATAGAGTTGTTGAGTCCTGTGTGTCTGTGTGCGCGTGCGTGTGGGTCTGTGCGCATGTCTATATGCATGAAATTTTTAAAAGCTGCACAATTTCAACAAGAGTTGTCGAATTCTCAGAGTTTTCCACTTTCAAAAGGTTTTCCCAGTAATTCAATTGATATAGTTTCCTTCAGCTTCTACATGCTACATAGGCTACCAGTTGGAGTTCAACTCAAGACCTCAAGGGTCTGAGCTCTTGCATTCATTTTTATTCCATGGGACACACACTCACATGTTTTCATTTGTCAGATATGGCAAAACATGTTATCAACTTTAGTTTGGACCCTTGTCATTTGTCACCTGGTGTGCCATAAATTTAGTTTTGGATATTCTACCAGTATTGTAAATTTGTCACACTTTATCCTTCTTCTGTAGCATTTCCATTTTTACTTTGTATTGTAATACACTCTTATATATATTTTCCATTACTTAAAGGCCAGGATCTTATTGAGCGTGGAACTTTAGATTCAGCTAACTTCTCTTATAATTCTTCCTTGCCCAGGATCTTATGAAGTAAGGAGCTTAATTATGCTAGTGTCTTCTTCTTTTTCATTTATTTAGTTTTAAAATATGATAAAAGTGAGTAAATTAAACATCTTATTGTGGTACGCGACAATGTAAAATGGAACATCAAGAAACTGAGATCCTCTGTAACATAAGCTTGCTTTCATATGGTTGATGCACCAATGGGGTGACATTGCATGAAATGATAACTATCACTTGTCTTAGATGAGTTCTATAATTGTGGCCTTGTGCCCAGACTTTTTAAATGCCAAGGTTTTTTGTGCTTGTCCTGGAGAGGAAGGGAGGGAAGGTTCACGTACGATTTTTCTTCATTCAATTGAATTTCGGTTTGTTTATTTGCTTATCTTCATGCTTGTTATTGGGAACCTCATCCACTGGGCTGACTTTTTACCGATCATGCTTGTTACTTTCACTCTTTAATGTTTCCATCCTTGTCTGAGCAATTATTCTCATTGATGCTACCTAAGATATTAGGCTGAAACCAGTTCAGTGAGTCCTCAATTATTTTATGTCCTTTTGAGTCTAAATAGGTAGTCTCCAGTCTGTGTGTGTGCGTGAGAGAGAGAGTAAAGAAATGAATCAAGAATAACTGAGAGAGAGAGAGAGAGAGAGAGAGAGAGAGAAACAAAAAGAATACGAATAACTCTGATTCCAGGCTATATAAAGAGTGGAGACTACTTACATGCCCTGCACCGAAATGGCAATGCGTGAGCATTAGAAAGTTGTACACTAATAATCATATACACACTCTGTTGCATCCAGGAATTTATTTATTCAACAAAAACATTTTTCTCCCAAATGGACTATATAATTGCAATGAGGCATTCTGTCCAAATATAAGTGTATTTCCTGGCTATAGTCATTGTCAGGTACTTTATTTGTAATGCACGCACACAAATAAACGAATTGCATCACCTATGGGCATCTGGAAGTAAATAGAACAGAAAAGAGCTCCCCCGTCTTACAAGCAACAGGCTTCAATGGAACTTTTTCCCCCTTTGGTTGCGGTGCTCTCAAATATTACTGATTGATCAGTATTGGATGTTTCAATGTTCATGAATACTGATATATGTGTTAATATGTTAATTCTTTTCTTCTTTTCCTACTCCCATCTCTCTTTCTTGATAATAAATTTAATGGTTTCTCTTCTTGTCAGTGCAGGGATCTATTTTGTTTTTCACCCCCTTCTTTTCAAGGCTTATTTTGCTACTTCAGCTACAACCTCAAGAATTTGTCACTGGTACGACGATGGGAGTTGCCTTTGTAGTGTTTTGTAGCTTTGATTGAGAGGGTAGTTTGTTTCTTGACCTTCATCTTTTTAATAAATCTAGGCTAAATTAATTCTTTTTTTAAATGGTGCGATGATACCCACTTTGAATTGGGAAGTTGGAAATATTCCAGAAGGTTGGCTAGTTTGGTTGAGTCAGCTCATAAGCATTTTAAGGATCGTTTTAGGGAGGGATACTTGTTAAAAGAAATCATAGTTGGAGATACCCGAGGAAGGTGAACAATGTGAGAAAGCATAAGGTTCTGGCTTTGGACCATCAGAGTCCAGACAATGTGCCATTGGAGTATCTTTTATCATATTTGGTTTTAACTGAAGGAATTATGGTCCTTTTATAATCCTGAACTTATCCTTCTGTTTGGTGGTATGAGAACCTGAAATACATCTTTGTAGTATTTTGTTTGATATTCGAAAGAGAATGTTATGCCATGTTTGTTGTTGGGGGGGGGGGGGGGGGGGGGGGGGAGAGTCATAGCATTCCTTTTTTATTTATTTTTTGGCAAATTATTGGAAGTATTGAAGGACAATCTCAAGATGTATTAAAAAAGAAGGTAGAGAAGATGATATATACTTTGGTCCCTTTGGTGCTACTGATATGGTATTTAGCTTGCTTGGGGTCGTGGTGGTTTGGTACTGTAGGAGTGCTTGTAATTGTCCTCTCGCTTTGCTTGAGGTTGTGGTACTTTGTTTTGTAGTAGAGCTCGTGTCGTAGATTATTGCAGGCGAGATGAATAGAGTTCTGTTTCTGGACACTGATTTATGCATGTGCCGCTAAGCTTGTAATCTTAATTTTGTGACTCTTTGAAACGGCTGAGTGGGACTTTAGATTTCCATTTTTGGTCTTAGGTTGAGTATTTTATAAATTATGTATTTTCAGTCTTTACTAGCTTTCCTTTCTTTTTATTTTTATTTTTATTTTTATTTTTTTAATTATAAAAAGGACTTGTAATGATGTTTTTTATTTTTTATTTTTTGGCAAGAATATCTAATCATAGGCTGCTCATAAATGTCTTTTGGACATTCTAACTAAAACAAGTCTGGTTCTTTTAGAATTTTCTGGGTCAAGCAGTTCCTAGCTAAAGCAGCTGGCTTTTGTCAACAAAACTAGGGGTGCACACGGTTTGGTTCTTTACGGTTCCAGTCGGAACCGGAACGGTTCACAACGGTTCCTAAAAAACTGAACCGGAACCTGAACCGTATAGATTAGAACCGAACCGGAGAACCAGTTCGGTTCCATGAGAACCGTTAGCCATGAGTTCAGACAGCGGCTGAAGCTTGCGAACACGAACTGGACAGCGGGCGATGGAAACTGAAAGATATGGGTTTTGATTTTTTGAACAATCTGAAATGATATGGCGATATGGGTTTTGAACTTTTGATTCTTGCAGCAGATCTGAAATATATAGGTTTTGAACTTCTGATTCTTGTAGATTTTGTAGTTTACACTTGCAGAGAGAGAGAGAGGGCAAGTTTAGCAGTTGCAGAGAGAGAGAGAGGGGCAAGCTTGAGAGTTGAGAGACGGCTGAAGCTTGCGAACCTAAACTGAACAGCAGGCGATGGAAACTGAAAGATATGGGTTTTGATTTTTTGAACAATCTGAAATGATATGCGGGTATGGGTTTTGAATTTTTGATTCTTGCAGACAGATCTGAAATATATGGGTTTTGAACTACTGATTCTTGTAGATTTTGTAGTTTACAGTTGCAGAGATAGAGAGGGCAAGTTTCGAAGTTCAGAGTCGAGAGAATAGAGATGGAGATTGGAGGCGACTGGGTAGGTGAGGCTCAGATCTAGGGCAAAAAGACTCAAAAAAATAGAGATGGAGCCGATTGGGGAGAGCCACTGAAATGATTTGCCCTAAAAATAAAATATAAAATATATATATATATTTTCCGGTTCAAGAACCGAACCGTGAGATCGGAACCAGAACCGAACCGAAACTCAACGGTTCCTTATATTAGGAACCGGAACCGGAACCGTGAGAACCGGAATTTTGGTTCCAGTTCTCACGGTTCCAGTTCCGGTTCCGGTTCTACGGTTCTTTTGTGCACCCCTAAACAAAACTGCACTGGTCTGTTGTCCCCCGTGCGGTTTAGCTGCCCAGTTTTGTCCATTACAGGCTTCATGTTACTTATTTCTAAACGAGGAGTTTGGGATAGTTTTATTGGTAGTTTCTTTAATCATAGACTTGGCTTTCTATTTGGTTTTGGTGCCACTATCAAACATATTATGTCTAAACCTCAAGTGCACCTCTCAGTAATTGGAGGCAAACTTGTCTTTAATGCTTTCCGACATAAGAGTGGTAGAAAATGCACTAATCCACTCCTTTCCCCCTCGCTTAGAAAAATATAAAAGGAAATGAAATGATGCGGGACTTTTCAAGTCTTTCTTGAATGACATTGGCTGGGAAAAGGGTGGCAGTCCATCATATGGACTTAGCAGTCATTTGCATTTTTCTGCAGATGCCTTTGAAATTTTTTTTTATAGTTTTCCTGGTTCGTACAGGATTGGCTCTATTTAGCTGTATGCCTACAACATTATCAAGTGGAGTGGCACTGACTCGGGTATGTTAGTTCCCCTGAATTTTCCTCTAATTATGTTTTTACACAATTTTGGTTTTTTAATATAATAGTGGACCAGAAGTTAGATGGTTGTCAGTTTGACTGCAACTTTGAAATTTTGAAATGCAGCTTGCTGGAGGGAATTCTGCCCTTGCTCTTGCAATGACGGTTATATCTAATCTGTTAGGAATCTTGATTGTAAGTCACTGAGTTTCAGTAGCTTACAGAATTTAGATTCTCTGTGGTGGATAACAAACACTCCCTAGACACCAGGGAGCAGTTTAACACTTCTTCTCTGTGTTTGTATGTGTGTATATCTATCCATATATATATATGTACAGTTGTACACATTTCTTTACAGAAACTTCTCATCTTTTATAATTAGGACGTGGATTTCAAACAGAATTCCTCTCCATACTGTTATTGAAAAAAAAAATTGTTTTACCTATCACATTGTGGAAAATTGTTTTCTAGCTCTTACCTGATGTGTGCCCGTGCCCTGAAGGATGGCATGCCAGTTTTCATTTTGTTTCTTCATCCATGTGTCTATTTTTGTTAAAAGACTATTTGTGAACAGGAAGCAGCTTATTATGATCAGTTCTCTCTCTCTCTCTCTCTCTCTCTCTAGGCACGCGCAGGCGTGAGTAATTTGACAAGCCTGAGATTTCTTTTCTTTTTTCTTTCACATAATTTATTTTTCCAGGTTTGTCAGATTAAGCTTGGAGTTCTTTTTTTTCCTCCCCCCCCCCCCTTTATTTTCTTTCTTTTTCTTTTTTCAATTTAATCAGTAAGTGCATGCTGAAAGTAACTCTTCCTTTTAGGTGCCTTTTTCTGTCTCGAAGTTCTTAGCTGCTGGAGTTGGTATATCTTTTCCGACTGAGCAGTTGTTCAGAAGCCTTCTTCTCACTCTCTTAGTCCCTCTGATCTTGGGGAAGGTAATACTACTGTTTCCTCTATATAAATTATACACAGATAATTTTGCCTTCGAATATGAAAGCTTCTGTGATGTCATCGTTTCCAGCAAAAACCGTTTTAGCTCATATTAGTTTTGTTTTTGCATTTAGGGGATCTCATTGAATAATTTTTATTTTAAAGAAATTTAGGTAGCTCAAGTAACCTAACTACATCTATATGTGGCATTGAATTTTTGTAGTGGGACACATCCCTTTTTTATTCATTGTTGGTGGCAGAGGCCACATAAAACTCGGATGCCCATAGTCTAAGTTATTATTAGGTAAATAAACAGGAAAAAAAATCCTTAGCAAGCTGTAGTAAGTTAAAAGTTTTTGAAAGCTGAGTTAAACAAATAGCATTCATTTTGGAATTCCCAGTGAATCCTCATTTCACCATATTTTTTAATTTCTTTCCAAAGCTTCTCCAGCAGGTTGCTGGCAAAAATGACGGACCTTTTGCTTCTAAAATCTAGATCTTGGATGACAGTTAATCAATAGGCAGTTGAGAAGATCCTTACTGGCCAAGACATGGAGACGGTCTGAAAACATCTTAAATTTGGGAGATTGAGAAAATTTGTTTGTGGTGCCAGCTTTTGACGCTCTCATTCTGCCCGGACAAAATATGGAAATTGTGTGGGAAAATCCCAACCCTGGATTCTAGTTCAAACTACATGACCTCCAAATCGGCTGGGGTCCGGTTCTTTGCCTGTTTCGCATGAGAAAAACAGACAGGATTTATTTACTGTTTAAATCTCAGTTTGTTTGGGACTTCAACGATGGTTGGATCAAACTGGGTTAATACAACATCTGTTGGAATTCAGTATGTGGGTGCTTTCAATGGATTTATTCCAAGTAAATTTTTGGGTTACTTGCAGTAACATCCCTGAGGTAAGCCTTAATTACAAGCAGATAAAGTATTGGCGTTACCCCCTGACGCTTGCTCTGTATCACACTAACACCATCTTTGACATGTTTCAATATTCATTCAAAATTGGTATTAACTTGGAGTGGAACCCGAATGATATGAGTGCTATCTTTCAGTGTCTGCAAGCTAGAAAGCCATGCAGTAGCGACTAGCAAGTGCATGGTCGCCTTTCACCATCTTGGCCATTGTTGGATAGCCCATTCCCTGAAATCTTTTTAGATTGTGCCATAAAGTGGCATTAACTACATTGGTTGTCTAAAACTAAAGAACCAATCCCTCATTAGTGCTCTAAAGCTTGTGGCACACTATTTTTGCATGGATTATGATCTTCACTACACTGGTAATAAAAAAAATTTCCTTTTGAAATATGCAAAACTTTTGGCCTTCTTTTTCAGTGCTTACTGCTTCCGGGAAATGACCATCTGACTAATTCTTACTAATCTTCTCTGTTATGATAAAAAAAGCTTTCCAAATGCCTCTAACTAAGTATTTAAGTTCTAAAATTTTATACTGCTAATCTTGGAATTCTAATGATGTTAGAGTTTTATTTTCTAAATTTTTGATAAATATTGACAGTTGAGTTCTATTGTCTAGTTTTACAGAATTTTTAGGTCTTTTAAAATATGAAAAGGGCATAAATGAGAGTGAAATGCATCTAGGCTGTTTATCATTTTGAATGTTCCATTTGGAAATTGACACTACCATCTTGTATGTCTCACTTATAAAGAAAAGTATTTTCGTAGCAAGTAGATCCATCACTGCATTCAAATGCTGTAATGCCAGTCTTTTACTTCTCTCTCTCTGTGTATATATATGTGTGTGTGTGTGTGCACGCGCGTATATATATATATATATATATATCAACCGTACAACATGTTCTAACTATTCAAGGTGTATAATAGCAGTCTAAAAAGTGATTTTGATACTCTTTGACATGAATATATGCTTGTAGAGGAGGCCTTTAATGTGGGAGTAAGATCATATTATTGTACGAGGCCTATAATTCTGAGGCCTTTTTTTTTTTTTTCTCCCTCTTTTTTTTGTGTGTTTTGGGGGCAGGGGGGCACAGGGGATATCTGTCTGCCCTGTGGTGTTTAATTTCCATGTTTAATTTATGCCTTTTGATCAACAGGTCTTTCGAGAATCCTTCAAAGGTGAGTGTTCCATATTCTCCATGTCTTATTAAAATTTTGTGGGCCCCTCTTTATGTAGAAAGGAATAAACACTTGAACCCTAGAAATTACAGATTGTAAAAGTAATTAATCTATGGCAATTTATTAGGACCACAATTTGCCACTATGAGCTCTCTTAAAGATTAATTTAAGGGTTCTTTCTTTGTTTTGGAATGTCACAACAAATTGTTCTGCACATTTGCATCACATTTGGGTGATCCAAAAGATTGAATGGGTGTTTCCTTATCAACCATACTTTCAAATCGTGCCTTGGACTGAGTGTTGATGTCAAATTTGGTTAAATTGTTAAAATTACTCAAACAATGCATGTGTTGTATGCATTCTATCTATCACATGGATTGTATCATACATCAAAGCTAACATTGGTGATACATACACATATATACATACATATGTGTGTGTGTAACATAGAGTATTGTAGATATTATATTATGTCTATAAGATAAATTTACATATACAATATATTAGGTATTATGTAAATAAGATAAATTTACATGTACAATATATTGAGTATCATTTTCCAAATAATCTACCAACTGTGGTATAAGACGCCAGCAGTTAAAAATGCCTTTCAGTTGCCAATAAATACAGCATCTGGTGTTGGACCTGATTATACCTGAATTGCAGGGGTTGCAGACTTTGCTGATCATAACCGTAAGCTTTTGTCAGTGATGAGTGCAGTCCTCCTCAGTTTAGTAAGACCTAAATCTTGGTTTTCTCTACAATTTTGTTATATATAAGCTGCATTTATAATAGTACATTTTCTTGTTCATGTCTAATATGTTTTCTTTTTCTTGGTATTGGGGGCTGTCCCTACCCTCTTCGGGTGCGGGACTAATCCATAGGATATCCTTAATCACCCCTGAACCAATGTTAATTCCATAAGGATTTGAAGGCAACACCTCTGCGTTGTGCCCAAAGACTTTATGCCAACTTAGCTACCCTGTGGGAATTTTTTGAGTCTGTATATTTTGTGCTTCGGTGCAGTGTAGATTGCTTTTTTGTTTGTCAGGCTTTGATAAGTACTGGACACATATTTGTGCCCTAAGTAGGACTTGAACTCTCCAACTCTTGCCTTTTTTTTTTTTTTTTTAAAGTAAAAGAATACAATATTGCTTTCCTACATGCATGTTTGCTAAATGGTTAAAATAGAAGACAACAATAGTAATTATTCTCAGAATGAAAACAAAGTCTTTATTCTCGTGAAAATATCAATTACTATATTAATCTTTTAAATAATTTCATGGATAAAAGAGAAGCCTATGGTTACATGAAATGAATTAAAAAAACTTATTTTTACACTGCTTTGCGAAACTTCAGGCTCGCAAAGAGTGCCGAGTGTAAACGACTTAAGGCCGCGAGTCAATGCGAAACTTCAGGTTCACAAAAAGTAAGTTTAAAGACCCTTTCCCTCGTGAAACTTCTGGCTCGCTAAGAATATCTAGCGTAAAGAACTGATCACCTTTATAAAAAAAATTTAATTTTCATAAAGTATGCACAAAAATAATAAAATGCTATTTTACTAATATAATGAGAAATTTAAATAATTAATGTGCTTACCCGATCTCCTATAATCAGCTTGTCCTTTACCTTGCTCTCCCTTATTATGGATAGTTGCAAATTCCTCCTGAGCTTAAGCTTTGAACAAGAATAAGAATGTAAGCATAAGAAGGAAAAAATCTCTCTTCCTTCACCTTCTCCCCTTGAAGAGATGGTTTTTAAGGAAGAAAATAGCGCTCAGACTCATGAAAAGTGACATCCAAGCTAACAAAAGTTTTCTTAGGAGGATGGTAGCACTTATATCCCTTTTTGTGTTGCCGAGTATCCAATAAACACACATTTTACTGCCTTGGGATCAAGTTTCCCTCTAGACTGTTGGTGATCATTAATAAAACACACACATCCAAAAACTCATGGAGGAATGGGATGAATGATTCCACGACCTTGAAGTAACTCAATGGTAACCTTAAAGTCAAGAGCTCTCAGAGGCATACAATTAATGAGGTATACAGCGATGAGAACATCACCCAGAAAGTCTTAGGAAGACCCATACTGAATAGTAAAGAGCAAGCTACTTCAAAAAGATGGCGATTCTGCTGTTCGTCCACATCATTCTGTGCTGGAGTATTACACAACTAGTTTGATGAACAATTCCATTATCAGCTTGATATGCTTGAAAAGCACCTTCAGAATACTCCATCCCATTGTCAGTCAGTTCTAAGAACCTTGATTTTAGCATCCAACTAAGTACATACCATCTAATTTATACTCTCCAAAGTAATAATACTCTACAAAGTCATCAATAGAGTTATGTGGATTGGCACACTGACTCTTTGTGTTCCAACTGGGGACTGTCTTCTTTTTGAGGTGACATATGAAGATAATCACTAATTTCTTAGAGATGGCAAAGCTGAGTTGAGATTTGACGCGCATTTGAGATCCTCGAAAAAATAGTAGTAGTAGCAAGTCGTCTTGCAATATCAAGGGACACGAGAATTTAATGTTTCTTATGCTTAAGACTTGGGAGTTCAAGCGGACCCTCTGCATGTCATAGAGTGGCAAAACCTGAAGATCCACACCACTTATCAGGAGCAAAGGGTCAAGATATTGGAACATACGCATGTAGAGTGGCAAGACCCGGAGAGATTATTTTTTTCGGTTCTTGGATTTTAAAGAAGTGCTGCAAAACAGACTATTCCTTTTGTCAATTTATGGTGTAACATCATGCTATTGAGAATGCTGCATGGTATTAGGAAGCCAAAATTCACATCAAATATCATGACCCTTTGCTCCTTAAGGTACAATGGTACATAACAATTTTGGGAACCATAATTTCTTTAGGGGGTGGAATCTACCAACCTGCAACACTTAAAAAAGTAAATAAATTTCCATTTTTATTTAGGCATAAAACTAATTAGGGAGAATAATTGAGAGGAAATAAACTATGCTGGAGTTGTGGGATTGATCGAAGGTTTAAGTTAATCGATACTTATTCAGTTACTCTAATAGGTCTAAGAGAAACACCAAAACCCATGAAACAAACTACTAAGATAGGTCTAATAACATGCTTATTAAACTGAAATTTGGGCTCTGGACTTTTGTTGCACCAAATAATTGGCCTGCCTAAGACAAAGATGGATTATTCAATGACACAATTGCAACTTACTGTTTGAAACATTACCCTCCGGTATGCTTATAGTATCACAATATTTTTGCCTATATACTTGCCTGCATATACCAAGTGATTGTTATTTCAATGTTATGGATTATAAATTATAAATTATGTTCATATATCTTTTCGTTATCTATATAATCACATCAAATTTATTTTAGATCTTTCATAAATCACTGCTCAGATCTTTTTCAATACTGTTGCACTTCAATAGAAGGTTTTTTAGGAAGAAAATTGCTAGTATCTTGTAAACCACGGTCAAGAACTGTAGAAATTGTATTTGATTTATGAGATGGTTCTTAAAGAACCAAATTCAAATATTCATTATTTTCTAGTTATGGGGGCTTTTTGGCTGTTTGGAAGCCATTCTGTATTTTAGAACTTTCTTTGATTGCTCAGGTGCCATGGATACAAGTGAGCAGATCGAGGTCATTGCTGTTAATGGTCAAGCCTGCAGTTTTTCTTGTAGCTGTTGGAATGGGAGCGTATGTTTTTCACTGTGAATTTCTTACTTTTGAAAAAAGTTCTATCGAACTTACGGTGTCTCTGATGCTTATATTATGATGATGATAGTTTCTTGCATATCACTTCAGGTCTGAGAATGTGATCCAACTTTCCCAATTTATATATTGATATATTTATTAAAGTTGCATACGTAGTTGTAATTAATTTAAGTGTGCTCATAAATTTTCATCTCTCAACACTCTTTGGATGGGATTCTAAATACTGACAGGATTTCAGCTATTTATTTAAATTAAATTACTATTAAAGGATCCATATTTTATATTAAAGGCGCAAGTTTGACAACACTGTTTAAAAGTGATGTCAATCCTGAAATTAGAAGGTATGGATTTTTTTATTAAACTGTCAACCGCTAGTTATTCATATATTTAGGTTATAGTCACCATAGAATGATCATAGATTTTTAAGTTGGCTTCTGCTTAGAATAATGTAATATGGTAATATCATTTACAATGAAGGTTGTACCGTGGAATAGATCAAGAATTTGTGTCTGATCATTCACTTGCATTTGTGGCACTGTTAACTTATAGGGCATTGATAAACTAGCATCATCTAACAGGATTGTCATCCTGTTTTGCAGACTCCTGCATCTCATCCTGTTAGCATTTAATGCTTTAGCAGTACAGAGCCTCTCCGCTGTATCCGGTGGTAATAAATCAGTTTTTGCAAAGAAAAAAAATGCTGTTGCTCTTGTACTTGTTGCAAGCCAGGTAAGACATGATTTTCTTTGTGCTTATATTCCAAAATTTAAATTATAATGCAGTACTGCAAACATGTATGTCGTTTCTATGAGGAGAAATTAATTAGAAATCAGTGCAGCAATGGACTAATATATTTGTCATTTTTTTAGTGCGACAAAAAGGAAGGGGGTTGTGTGAAAATTTCTTGAAAATAACATCATCTGTTAAGTTGCTTAGAACCCTTCTAAATTTATTATTGGGCAATCATTGGGGCTTGATATATTGCATGCTTTTGTAGAAAACCCTGCCTGTGATGGTAGCAGTTGTGGATCAGCTTGGTGGTGCATTCGGTGAATCTGGTTTGCTGGTTCTTCCTTGTGTCGCAGCACATCTGAATCAGGTTATTTGAGTTTCCTCTCATCTGTCTTGTTTAACTTAAATTTTAGCTGACATGAAAAAAGTTCATGGTTTAGATTGTCCTGGACTCTTTTCTTGTAAACTTCTGGTTTCAAAAGGAGCAGATGCTGGACAACCCCAAGCCAGCCTGAGATTTAGGAATGAAGACCATGATTATCGATGGTTTATGCAGATGATAATATTTGTGGAGCCAGTCTATAGAAAGTAGTGGGAAGTGATATGATTGATTGCCACTTTCTTTCTTCAATACGGTTAAAAGAGTTACAGGGTTTGTACATTTTGTGCTGCCCGTGTTGTATCTAAAAATGTACCTCAGCCATTATTTAATCAAATTGTAAAATACCTGATTTGATTATTGGAGACTATCCCAATTATTGATTAGTTTTATAATGTAATTTTTTATTTTATTTTTTTCCAGATGGGTTACACACCCATTAATGCTCTGATCAAGGTTCGAACTGTCGACCTCCATTTCGACCAAGTCTACGTGAAACATGTGACATGAGGTAGGTGTGAAGTTGAAAATTTTGAAGAACCTTCTCTGGGGTTTTGTCGGCATAAATCCTCTCTCCATCGAGAGAAATCTGCAGTTTCATTCGGTGGGTGAAGTTTATAACTATTGGTAAATTTTGTCATAATGTATGAAATTTATCATTAATAGCGATGAATTTCACCCACCCGGGAGGTTTAATGTGGCTATAGTAAGCCCTTGCATGCCCCCATAAATAACGTCCTTTGTCAGATGTCGACATTGGTGCCCATATGCATCTTTGACATCTACATTTCGTAGGCGGCTGGGCGCCTGGTCATTCACACTAAAAAATAATTAAAAAAAAAAAAAGAGAGAAAACAATATAAATGAATACATGGGAGAATTATGTATATGATTCGTTCAAGGGTCAATGTTAATATATATGTATCTATATGTATATGTATGTATTTATTTATATACATCTTTGATTACTTAAAAAATATGCAATTGTTACTTTAGAGCTAAAATGTTGTGGTAAAACATTTGAGTTTCTAGTCTGTGATGTAAAACATTGTCATAGGTAGTATAACAGGTAGGAAGGAAATTGGTGGTCATCATTTTTCCGTGCACATCACCGAAATTCATAAATGAGTCCTTAAAGTGGCCTATTTAATTAGGGTACCTATCTCTATAGGGTTTTAAAGTGTCTGATCATTAATCAATTCACTTGAATTTCAACGAGAAAATGTAGAATTGGGAAAGGGGCTTTATGGAATATCCAACTTGGTGGGACTGCGGGTTTTTTAAATACATGAATTTTTATTTTTATTTTTTGGGTATGATAATTTATGATATCATAACATGTAAATAATTTTAGGATATTTTGCATTACTCTAGTTGGAAACCTCTAGAGTTCTATTATTATCCTTTGATTTCGATTACATCTATTAAAAATATTGAAAATCCCAAAAGTGATGGTGTAATTTAGTCATATAACAACCATCTTCACATTTGATTTAACTATTTTTGGCAATGATTGTACCAATTCATTTCGTAATCAAGTTTGAGGCCTAAAAGGTCAAGAGACTCAAGAACCCAACTTCCTAGACTTCATTGTGCTTGTTGAGATTAGGCCACCAACACAACATTAATGGAAAAAAAGTAGACGAAATAGTGCTCTCAAAATTCAATCCACCGTGCTGCCTACCACCTACTTTGTTTAAAGCCATGTTGATTTATATATTATTTTAATCCTTAAAATATATAAAATGTTTTATTTATTTATTTATCTTGGAAGTTCCAACTCTTCTTGGTCAGTATATATTTTTCTTACCTATCAAAAGGTGACTAATATTTTGGTGAACAATCAACATCACTAGTGAAATTGTTAGTTCTCAATCTAATTTCAATGTCAAAAGTAATAATTATAAAAATAAAAAAACTATTATTACTTATAGTATTTGTTGAATTCTCAAATTATTTGTGAAAACTTGTGAAGTTAATAATTATTGCCACGTCCTCATCATTGTCAGTTTTATTCATAAAATTTAAAACAACAGTCCCATTTAGAACTATACAAATTGTGAAATACTTTTCAAAGAAAAAAATTCAAAAATATATGCATAACATAAGATGCATTAAGTTTTTAATTTTATAACTATAAATATAAAAAATTGTGAAATAGAAAAAGTACTTTCTATATATGTGTTACCATAAGAATGGGTTGGAGACTGAATCAGCTGGAAGGTAGCAGCTGCTTCTACTCAGTTTCACACCGAAAACAACTGCTTTGAAATTTTTACAGGTTCTCTGTGTGTGTGTGTGTGTGTGTGTGAAACTGTATCTATGGTATAAGTTTAACGAAATCATGGCATTCTGTATAGTATATCCTTAGCCATACTTTTTTTTTTTTTTTTTGGTAAGTAAATCCTTCGCAATACTATAATTTATGTTTTGTTTTTTTTTTTTTGCTCCGTATTTAGTCCAATTTTGATGAACATGATATTGATACAGAACTGACATGAAAATGGTATTGCTGGGAACTCCTTATGGAATTGAATTCTTTCCATTGTGCTCAGCCTTCGCATTGAATCAACACCCCATTTTGTTCTTGTTTAGGAGCATATTGTTAATTATTCGTGAAACAGTAGAAATGAGGACCCCCTTATCGAATGACTCTGTTTTGTTCGTCACTAAAAATAATTCTTTAGATGCTATGATAAAGCTAATGAAATGATTTCAAGGAATTTCAATATGTGCCATTGTTTTATTGTTTTCTGTTTTGTCTTCCTCTCTCTTATTTTGTTCTCATGGGAATGAATTGGATTTGGGTTTGAAATTCATATGTCTAAGCAGTGAGAATTGCTATGCTATAGATCCTTTTTTTATTTTTATTTTTCAAGGCCATTTTGAATGTATTTGATGTCCTTTGCTATTTTTGCGGGAAAATGTATCGGATGTTGATATTAGACACAGGATAGAAGCTCAATCAGGCCAATTTTATACCAATAGAAGAAAGCCTTGTTACTTTGTTCTGAAGCTTTATATTTAGTAATCATTTCCAGTCATTGCACTGCTTTTCACAGGGCATTTGAATATTTTTTTCCGGGATGTTGAAGAGAATTATAGCAATCTTGTTGATTGGGTTTCTAGGATGGGCATATCAGACCACCCGCCCTCTGCCGCCCAACATCTGTGGCTCCTCAGAAGGTCCACCCATCGCAGCACCTAGAATTAAGCTTAGGGATGGAAGACATTTGGCCTATAAGGAGCATGGTGTCCCAAAAGAAATAGCCACATATAAAATCATCTTAGTTCATGGCTTTGGCTTAAGCAGACATGATGCAGCAATTACAACATCGGTAGTTTTATGGATAAGTCGTTCAATTGATTATTTTGTTTCTTCCTGCATTGGATTTAATCAATGTTGACTTGTTTTTTTTTTTTTTTGTTTTTTTTTTTTTTTTATGTTTTTTTGCCAGGAAATAGTAGAAGAGTTAGGGGTGTATTTTGTGTCTTTCGATAGACCAGGTTATGGAGAAAGTGATCCAGATCCAAAACAAACCAGAAAGAGTGTAGCTCTGGATTTAGAAGAGCTAGCTGATCAGTTGGAGCTCGGGTCCAAATTTTATGTAATTGGGTTTTCAATGGGAGGACAGGTGGTTTGGGGCTGCCTCAAGTACATCCCTCACCGGTAAGATGTGGCCAAGCTTCTCTACTTCACCTTGTGACATATTTAGTAACCTGTTGACTTTCGGTGTTTGAAGTAAATCTAAATTCTAGAATTATTAGGGAATTTATCACAAATTAGATGGAAAAAAATATATATCAGAAACAAATTTCATTAGCATAGGTTGAGAACAGATTATAATTTCTTGAGTTATATGAGAGGGATCATGTATCTGTCTCATGTCGGATATTTTGCATACTGACAGTCTAGCAGGAGCAACCCTAATTGCTCCGGTTATCAACTATTGGTGGCCTGGCTTCCCTGCGAATTTATCTAAAGAAGCCTACTGCCAACAATTTCCACAGGACCAATGGGCACTTCGGGTCACTCACTATGCCCCTTGGCTGACCTATTGGTGGAACACTCAGAAATGGTTTCCTGCCTCTAGTGTTGCAACAGGGAGGCCTAAATTCTGTCGGCAAGATATAGAACTTGCTCTTAAGTTTGCTGGGAGGCAACAAATGCACAAGGTACTAATTTTTGCCGTTGTTGTATCATGAATAATACTGTATGTGCATGGCATTATATTTTTCAACACTGAAAATCTATTTCATTTAATCAATTTCATGATACAATTGAGTGTCTCGCACGTTGGAGTTCTGAAATATTATTGAGTTTGACATTGGTGCTCTTCATGAACATATGTTCAAAGCCTAGAACATTTTATAAAAATCTCAGGCTTGATTCAGAATTTGTTATTTGTTGGTTGTGATGACCAGGCATATGCAACTCAGCAAGGAGACTTCGAGTCTATCTATCGTGACATGATGGTCGGATTTGGGAGATGGGAGTTTGATCCTATGGATCTCAAGGAACCTTTCGCTGACAGTGAAGGCTCTGTGCATCTATGGCAAGGCGATGAAGATGGTCTCGTGCCTGTCACACTGCAGCGCTATATTGTCACAAAGCTTCCGTGGATTCACTACCATGAATTACCGGGTGCTGGACATTTGTTTCCATATGCGGATGGAATGAGTGGGGCTATCATAAAGGCACTCTTACTTGGGGACAAATAGCATACTGCAGGCATAGCTAGCGAAACATCTCCTCCGAAATATACAATTATTCAGGTTAATTGTATGCATACTCAGCGCTAGAGATGAGAATTTTGATTGTTGGGATTGTGATAAAAGATGTTAGCATCCATGTCAGTCAAATTTAGTTATTTTGGGGTAAGATTCAGAACTTTGATGCCCGATTGAGATGTTCAAACAATAATAGCCACAAAATTTATTTGTAAATGTTAGACATTGGAAGACTTTCTCATACTGTCATTGGCTGTGTGCCCTAGAAAATTGAAAGATCATGTTTCTATACACGGTCAGAATATTGAAGGCAACGCCTTGAAAAATGTAGGTGATCATGATGCACATTTTCTCCAAAACACGTATCACAATGGTTCTATTATCATTTTTCTAAGACACTCAAACATATATCATAATGGTTCTATTATCATTTTTCTACTAGAATTTCACATAGCATCATCTAAATTTCAAAGTGCGATTCTCTTATTTTTTGGATCCATTTTTAAACGATCCAACGATTTTTTTGGATCCATTTTAAAACGCTACAACGATTTCCAAAGTAGCATAATGTCAAATGTATATGTAACTAATGTTTTTTATTTATTATTATTTTTCTTCTTACAACAACAAATAATAAACATACACGTTTCAGTTGGCAAGTACCATAATGCATAACGTTATTTATTTATTTATTTTAAATTTAATAAAATTTACAATTCTATATCTTATCCTTAGTGTTGATGCGTAAATCCTCACAACTCGAAACGATGGCATTTACCTGCAAAACAAAAGGACGTCATCTCGAATGGCACCGTTGGGGTGCCGGCCAAGAACCCTCTGACGATCAAGTTAGTACTTGTAATCGTATTACATAATAATTATGTATATTCTGTTTAGGGGTTTTTTTTCGTACCTTCTTTAACGGCATGATGCCCTATTTATGGTTGTCGATCGTAATCAAATTGGTCCCGCGGGAGATTTGCTTGTGCGAGATCAGAGGAGATCATCTGTTGCCAGATTTGTCGGGGATATGATTTACTCCTTTGACTTTCTCAAATTATGCCAAAGTTATCCTCACCCTGTTGAACCACCTCGTCATTCATTATCCTAGATAAGAAATGTCATCATTCTTATCCGATGGAAATCTTTATCTCTGATAATGAAATATGTCGAAGAGGTCTGGCGGCTGGTCAAGGTAGGTTATTTTTCCCTATCAATTGCCCCACATTCCCAAACTTGCTCGTCTAGCTTTGGGAATGTAAATTTATTTATTTATTTATTTATTTTTTCCTCCCTTGCCCTGGAATAGTACCCCGCGGGTATTATTCCCATGGGTACTGTTCATGTGAACAGTAGATTTTTATTTATTTATTTATTTTTTCCCCTTACCCTGGAATAGTACCCCGCGGGGTACTGTTCATGTGAACAGTAGAAGTTTTTTTTTTTTTTTCCCCTTGCCCTGGAACAGTACCCCGCAGGTACTATTCCCGCGGGTACTGTTCATGTGAACAGTAGAAGATTTTTTTTTTTTTTTTTTTGCCCTGGGAATTCTTCCCTCGGGTACTATTTTTAGTACCTTTGGGTAATCTCCTCGCGGGTACTATTTTTAGTACATTTGGGTACTCTGCCCCTGGATACTATTTTTGATACCCTTGGATACTCTGCCCCTGAGTATTCTTTTTGGTACCATTGGGTACTCTTCCCTTGGTAAGGGAATAAATTGGACAAGTTTCACTTAGGTCGTCACTCCTTTAATAAGGGAATTAAATTTTACGAGCTTTACTCAGCTCGTCCCCTTTAGTAAGGAATTTTTATTTATTATCCCTTATAGTACGGGGATATTAATTACGGGATTCATTCAGTTCGGGTCCTTATAGTACAGGACATTTATTTACTATCCCTTATAGTACGGAGATATTGATTACGAGATTCATTCAGCCCGTCCTTTTAGTAAGGGAATAAATTTTACGAGCTTCACTCAGCTCGTCCCTTTAGTAAGGGAATTAGGTTTTACGAGCTTAACTCAGCTCGTCCCTTTCTTAAGGGAATTAATTACCACATAGGTATAACACGTGAGGGGGAGGATTGTTTTTTGACCTGACCTTTGTAGGTTAAGTCTTGATCTCTGATGACCATACTTTTGTCAGTTAGGCCCTGGTCTTGGTCTCTGATGACCAAACTTGGGGTGACCGAGCACTGATCTTGGATGACCGAGCCTTTGTAGACTTTGGGCAATTAATTCTTAATCTTGGTTGACTAGGCCTTGATTTTGGATAACCAAGCCTTGATTTATGATAACCAAGGGTTGTACCCTTCCCGGTGTGTAGAGACTTACCTGGTTATGGTTTCGGAAGATCGAGCACCGATCTTAGACGACTAGTGCCCCCGAGGGGTTGCTAAAAGAAAGAGACTGAAAACCCGACTAGCTCGATGCACCAAGGTTCGTCAATCTTCTAAACCTTGTCATCATATGTAGATCGACGATTGATATCGTGTGATCCACAATTCAGTCCCCGATGCTGGGATCTTGGGTGATGACCCATTCTATGGACGTTTATACAACAGACGAGGTGTCTGAAGTTGATAGGCAATTCCCGCAAGGGAAGAGAGGTTATAACTGTCGTCTGGTAGGTGGAGGCTTAGCGTCCAGCGACTAGCTTGATGCTTGGTGGATAGGGGCCTGGTACCCAACGGCTGACAGATAACCGTCTGGTGGCCAATACTAGATGACGGTCTAGTGGCCAGTACCTCGTTGGGTCCAACAATCGCCCTTAACTTAGGAACCTCCTTGGGAATACAGACCTCATAGGATCTTGAGGGACATTGAACTCCTTGGACCTGAAGGCCTCGATACATTCTTGGGTGTAGAAGGCCACCCTGATTACACGAATGGATGGAGTAATGAGACTCCGTTGCTAAAGACATCCTTAGTAGTAGAGGCTTTACTAGTAGGCAGAGACCCCCTTGTTGGTGGTGATCTTCTTGATGGGTGGAGACCTACCCATTTATGTAGGTGCAGAAGGACCAGGTCTTAGTCTTCAACGATCAGGCCTTGGTAATTGGCTGCTGCCCGATATGAGATAGCGTCTGGTCTTAGACGACCAAACCTTAGTAGTGAGGGGACCAAGCATCGGTAGATGGAAAACACCATATTGGACGACTTGGGTCGACGTGCCAAATTTTGATTATTGTCATCGTACACTGGGTGGCATCACGCAACCCACTGTTTTGCCCGCAGTATGATGGACGGGTAATCAAGATGTAGAGTCCCGTTCTTATATAAGAACATGGAAACCCGTTGTCAACTGATGACTTTGGGATGGTTTCCATGATCGGAAACTTTCGTCTTGTCGTCCGAGCCAAGTCGCATCGGGATAATTATTTCTTCAGAGAACTAATCGTTCCCACAGACGGCGCCAACTGTTGATGCATAAATCCTCACAACTCGGAACGATGGCGTTTACCTGCAAAACAAAGGGACGTCACCTCGAATGGCACCATTGGAGTGCCGGCCGAGAACCCTCCGACGATCAAGTTAGTACTTGTAATCGTATCACATAATAATTATGTATATTCTGTTTAGGGGTTTTTTTTTGTACCTTCTTTAACGGCTTGGTACCCTGTTTATGGCTGTCGATCGTAATCAAATTGGTCCCGCGGGAGATTTGCTTGTGCGAGATCAGAGGAGATCGTCTGTTACCAGATTTGTCGGGGATATGATTTACTCCTTTGACTTTCTCAAATTATGCCAAGGTTATCCTCACCCTGTTGAACCACGTCGTCATTCATTATCTTAGATAAGAAATGTCATCATTCTTATCCGATGGAAATCTTTATCTCTGATAACGAAATATGTTGAAGAGGTCTGGCGGCTGGTCAAGATAGATTATTTTTCCCTATCACTTAGTAATGAACAAAGACTAATAACAAAATTAGATGAAATAACAAAATAATTAAACAAAGCAGTGTACAAAAGCAACTCCCCAAGCGGGGCAACATTGACTTTCGTACTTGAAGTGCTTCCTTCCCCAAGAGACAAAGAGATGGTGCGAATATTTCCAGAATCTTTTTAGCATGTTAAATGGCTTTAGGGTCATTTTTGTCATTTTATAAAAATTATTTAACTCATCAAAATGTTAGCTTATGTCTTCTTTAGTGTCAGAAGCACAAATATGAATATGGGATACGAATATGATATGATATGAATATACACTCATGTATCAAGTTTAAAAGAAACACTAGATAGTGCGTCGATAATAAAAAATAATAATAAATTATATATATATATATATATATATATATATATATATATAAATTTTGGTCAAATTTTAAAAAATTACGAAACTAAATGCAATAATTAATAGAACATTGGAGTTAGTTACGCTACACATAAAACAAGTATCTCTAATCATCACTTAATAAATTTTGAATTTTTCTTAACAATTATATTATGATATTATTGTTGAAAAAGTTACATTTTAATGTTCAAAATTTGTTAAAAATTAATATAAAGTATATGATAAGTATCAATACTTGTTTAAAATTAACATTAAAAATATATATAGAGAGAGAGAGTCCTGATCTCTTGCTCCCCATGGAGTAAGAAAAATAATCCACACTTTTTATATAGACCGTTAGATTAAATCTAACGGTCATTTTACAAACCCACCCATGATCTTTTCTTTTAACACAAAACCACTCTCACCTTATTTTTTTTTCAAAGGTTTCTATTTTTATTTTGATAATTACCTTTTATTGTTACAGTGGGTACTAATAGTAAAATTAATTATAAAAACTAAAAATAGGGTCAAAGTGGTTTTGTGTTAAAAGGAAAGGTCATAAGTGGGTTTGTAAAATGACCGTTAGATTTAATCTAACGATCTATATAGAAAGTGTGGATTATTTTTCTTATCCCACAGAGAGCAAGAGATCAGGACTCATATATATATATATATATATATATATATATATGAGTCAGATCGATATTACTCAGATACTAGGTCGTATTAATAATTTAAATATATATATATATATATATATATAGTGTGGATTATTTTTCTTACCCCACAGAGAACAAGAGATCAGGACTCATATATATATATATATATGAGTCAGATCGATATTACTCAGATACTAGGTCGTATTAATAATATATATTTAAATTATTAATACGACCTAGTATCTGAGTAATATCGATCTGACTCATATCTATTTAAATTATTAATACGACCTAGT